AAGTTTCTGACATATGTAGGTCCTGGTTTCCTCGTCTCCTTGGCTTACCTTGATCCTGGAAACTGTAACTCTCTGTCTCTCTCTCTATATGTGTCTCCATCTTTTTCCCTGTCTGACTTTTATATATATGCGTTCGTGTGCTTACTGATTATTGCGTTTTCGCAGTGGAAACTGATTTGCAAGCTGGAGCTAATCACAGATATAAGGTATCAGAAAAACATTTATCCATTTGTTACGTAAATATTTATCTGCCACACGTTATGTACTCCCCAAACTACACAGTGTAACAGCAAAAGTTAACTCTACTTTTGTGGGACAACTCCTTTTTTTTTTGTGAGTCATAGGCAACCCTTTTCTGCAATAATTGCGTAAAATTAAACTCCATAAGGTATACTAGTAAGAAACAAACCAACTGTTTTACATTAACGTAATCTCACCTATTAACTTAAACTTTTGAATTAAATTAATTCTTTACATGGTAGTGGAGTCTCAGTGTCACAGATTCAATCCTCACTATCTCCCGTTTAATTAATAAATAATTAAGTCTTGTGGAATTTTTTAGCACGGATAGATGAACTTATGCATTATCCACCCTTCAAGTCTACTACACTCTCTTATGATGAGGTATATTAGAGATATATAAAATTATTTATGTAGTCTCACTCATCATCTTAAGCTTTTGGATGATGATACATCAATAGTTTTATATTTCTCTCACAGTAACAATATAAACCACACAACCCAAAATGATCTATGGGTTTAAGTTTTTGTTACCTTAAATAATATAAAATAAAGCTCTAAAGTTGAAATTAAGTTGTTGCCTTGTTGCTATATTCAGCTGCTGTGGGTGATACTTATTGGACTGGTGTTTGCGCTTATAATTCAGTCATTGGCTGCAAATCTTGGCGTTACCACTGGTAAGATCCAAAACTAATACAACAATTCATGCGTTATTGCGTGCTTCAGTGAACTTAAATGGTCAACACACACTGTGTTTATGCTTCGAATATGAGTGTGATTGTACTTGTAATATGTAACCTTTTCCATCCAAAGAAGCTGCATAAAAAATTAGAACCTTAATAAAGGAAAAGTGAGTCATTTATGTGAGAGAAAATAAAAAAAAAATAAAAAATGAGAGAGAAGGGGATAGTTGTGATAAAATGTAAGTGTTGTTTATGAGATATTGTTAATTGATATTTGAATTTGGCAGGGAAACACCTTGCAGAAATATGTAAAGCTGAGTACCCATTATTTGTTAGGTACTGCTTGTGGGTATTAGCCGAGATTGCTGTCATAGCTGCAGACATACCTGAAGGTACTTAATTTGTTATTATTGTTAAATCATCGTCTTGTTCTCTCCCCTTTCAATCAAAATCATTCAATTAAACCAATATGATACACTTTCTATTCCTATTTAGGCTTCTATGTTCTTTAATTTTCTCCAAACTTGATTATGGCAGTGATTGGCACAGCCTTTGCGCTGAACATACTCTTCAACATTCCATTATGGGCAGGAGTTCTAACGACTGGCTGCAGCACTCTCTTGCTCCTGAGTCTGCAGAGATTTGGGGTAATTTACCTTTTTGGAATAATTAGGAAATATGAACAATTTTAAACTCTAATTATATAAATAAGTAAGGAAATGCGAACCAATTAGCCAACCCAAAATAAATTGTTCCCCATATAGAGTAATAATTTACTAGCCTGAATTTTAGTGGATCCACTATGAGCCAACACCCATTTTAGTTAGTGCTTGTTTGGATTCTCTCTTTTTTAAACTAGAAGTTATTAGTTAGTGCTTGTTTGGATTCTCTCTTTTTTAAACTAGAAGTTACATATAAGTATAAACTAGACCAAACAGATTTTGAGAAAGCTCTTATAATGAAAAACTTTTTTTTTATAATGAAGAAAAAAGCTAAAAGATAAAAGCTCCTATGAGGAGTTTTTTTTTAAGCTCTTATATGCTTTTTTTGAATTGTGTGTGATTTTTTTTAAATGAAGAGCTATAAAGATAAAGAGAAAGAGAGATAGTTTTCTTGAAATATGTGTTTTTTTAAGTAACTTTTAAGCTAAAAATTTTATGTAATTACCAAACAACTTTTAACTTTTTTTAAGCTCTTTTTTTAGCTTTATTTTATAAGTAACTTTTAGCTTAAAAAAGAGAGAATTCAAATATATTCTTAGCCTATATCGAGCCAGTCCAAATGAACCGGCTCGATCTGAATTGATACTCTTACTCTACTATTCCTAGATATCATAATTTAAAAAAATTGAATATGATTTACATATGTTACATTTTTTTTGTTTTTTATCTTTGGTCTATATTTTCTCAACAGCACCGTAGCTAAACTATCTAGCAATAAATTCACTGGAAATCGTTTTGTCGACCTTTAACATTATTTTTATCTTTTATTTTTGGGTATTGCAGGTAAGAAAGCTGGAACTGTTGATATCAACGCTAGTATTTGTAATGGCTGCATGTTTCTTTGGAGAAATGAGCTACGTAAAACCACCTGCTTCTGATGTATTGAAGGGAATGTTTGTGCCAAAACTCAGTGGTCAAGGAGCCACAGGCGACGCCATTGCTGTTTTGGGTGCCCTTGTCATGCCGTACTCTTCTCCTTTTCCTTTAATTTCATTTGTCCATAACAAGTACTTTTTGGTCTTTACTTATTTTGGTTTTTTCCCACTAAAAACACTTAAATATGCCATATTCTTTAACAAATTTAAAACACCAAATTTGCATACACTAATCTCATAAAGTCTTATAATATTATTAAATTTCATAAAGTAAATATTATGCTAACTAGTAAATTTCTAACGTGTTAAAACTTCATTGACATAATCCACCAAGTAAACTAAGTTATTCACTACCTCAAATTTTGCTTTTGACAAAATGCAGGCACAACCTTTTCCTCCACTCTGCTCTTGTGCTGTCTAGAAAAATACCCAATTCCGTGCGCGGAATCAATGTAAGGCACTCAAAAAATAAAGAATTATATATGTGTTAATCTTTAAATTTGAAAAGAACAGTTTCGACAACTTAAAACTCAAATCCAGCCACTCAAATAGTTGTGCCTAGTGGAACATCTAATTTCTATGTAGCTAGCTTTACTTGCTCTTAGGGCTATCTTTGATTAATATAATACACATAGACTCATGTTACGTGACATATCTACTTGATTATATAGGATGCATGTAGATACTTTCTCATAGAGAGTGGTTTCGCGCTGTTTGTGGCATTTTTAATCAACGTTGCAGTAGTTTCTGTGTCGGGCACTGTTTGCTCTGCCAGCAACCTTTCTGCAGAAAATACTGATCACTGCAAAGATCTTACACTTAACTCCGCTTCTTTCTTTCTCGAGGTTCTTAAGCTAATTCACAATTCAGTTGCTATAATCCAATCATAATATTTAAGTTTAATAGCCTAATTAAGCACCAAGTTATCTCACATGAAATTTTGATGTCCATTACTTGAAGAATATGTTGGGGCGATCAAGCTCAACCATTTATGCCATAGCACTGCTAGCATCAGGACAGAGTTCTGCTATTAGTGGAACCTATGCAGGGCAGTACATCATGCAGGTCATTAGAAAATATCATTAAACACTTTTGTTTTTGCTTAAAAAAAATTAACAGGTTTTGTAGAAGGATTTACTGAATTTGGATTGTTATTTTGATGGTGATGTAGGGTTTCTTGGACTTAAAGTTGAAGAGATGGATAAGGAACTTGATAACTAGAAGCCTTGCCATAACACCTAGTCTTATTGTCTCCATCATTGGTGGTCCTTCAGGGGCTGGTCGGCTTATTATCATCGCATCGGTTTGTATATTCTAGAATTTGACATTTTTTTCATATGTATCCATTCAATTATGCATGAACACTAATTAAAATAGTTTTGCAGATGATACTTTCTTTTGAGCTTCCATTCGCTTTAATTCCACTCCTTAAATTTAGCAGCAGCAGTACCAAGATGGGACCTCACAAGAATTCTATGATAGTAAGTTGCTCTCTTACCTCGTCTATATATGTATGCCACTTTATCCCTCTATATAGTGATTATTGGCCACTAGCCATTAAACCTAAAGCAAGATTAGAGATATTTTTAATTAAAATATGAAAAAAAAAATGTGGCATAATTTTCTTGCAGATCACTATCATCTCATGGATACTAGGCTCGGGAATCATTGGTATCAATGTGTACTACCTCAGTACTGCCTTCGTGGATTGGCTAATTCACAGCAGTCTACCAAAGGTGGCAAATGTGTTCGTTGGGATTATAGTGTTTCCTCTTATGGCAATCTATATCATCTCAGTTATCTATCTAACCATCAGAAAAGACACTGTTAAGACGTTTGTCGAGACGAAGAATGACCCTGAAATGCAAACCCACTTGGAAAAGGGATTTTTGAATAACGGTCAATTAGAGTTGACTCATACTCCTTATAGAGAAGATTTAGCTGATATACCACTACCAGAATAGGGAATCTAGGCTATGAATTAAATGCATCACCAACCAAGATGCGGTTTCGTCCATAAACAGGAAATTTCACATTGCTTTCCATTCATTTTAGTGACCAATGAGAATCTCATGATGGATGATTCTCAAAATGAATGGTTGAAAGTGACTGAAATTTTACGACCTTAACAACCCTATCCCTGTCCCACATGTGCAAATTGTGTGTACTACAGTACTAAGGTGTAAAATTTTATGATTTTTATTTGTATTGCAGAAGTTTATACGTAAACTAGTTTAGCGTAAGCCCCACGATAAAATGGTCTCGAAATTTCTTGAATAAAGAAACCCCAGTAATAAGTTGCTGTGTTGATTTCTCCACTTTCCTATTCTTTAACCCCAGTATAAAGATCAATTAAACTTTTTTTTTTCACACATATTTAGAGTGTGCAACACTTCATATTAAAAAATTGTTATAAATTTCAACACTTGACATTAAAATCGAATCACTGCATTGACTCGTTGAATGTAATTACAGTAAATAAATGACTCATTGAAAATAATATTAACTCAAGTTTGTACAACATATTATCAATAATTGGAATACTTCAATCCGTCAAATCTATCAGCAGGAAATGTGATTAATTTGCAATAATAAATGTCAATTGCTTTCTACAATCTGAAAGTGCCAGACGTCAATAAACTAATGGATTTACTTTTGAAAGTAATACGGTAGAAAAATAGTCCGCATATTGTAATTAAATATCACTTACCGACTCCACTTGGTTGAGCTACGTGGCAGTTCTGAATACTAAATTCTGAAATTTGACATTTCATCAGCAATTTGTTACCACAGCCTTTTGTCGATCACAGCATAAACAATACCTTTCAATGTCTCCTGCGTAACACTGGAATATGAGGATTCTTTATTCATTTTTGTTTTTTTCAATTTTACTTTCCAGTAAAGAAGACCAAATTAGTAAAATGTACCGCAGAATGGTCTTTAAGACCAAGTGAGAGCACCAATGACCTGGAGGAGCCAGACAAACTGCAAACCAGGAATTAGATAGTCAATAAGATTTCCAAAAACGAATTACTAAATTATTCAAGCAAAAGGTTCACGTATTAACAACTGTTTTGAAAGGATCTTTGAAACCTATATTAATTTGGAGGAGAAGTTACAATATTGAAGCTGAAAACTCCAGAACATGTCTAATAACAAATAAGAGAGCTTCTCTATACAAGGAAGGGTACCTACCTCATATGCTCAATCAACTGACGTGCACATGCTACTAACATTGGCTGCATCAAAGCATTCAGTAAACAAGAAGCACAACCTTCACAGATATGATCAAGGAAAACAAATAATTCCAAACATAGGCAAACTTACCTCATCCCTTTTGCCAAATATAACAGAAACGTTGAACGTTGGATTGGTTGACACCCCTTCTTCCTTCCTGGCATTAAAAAGACGCATATATGTGACTGTTTGAGCAATGCTTCCTCTTTGAAGGCCCCTTCAAAGGAAGATTCTTATGTTTGATCTCTGTTTGTGATTTAATAAACCATTATAGAATAGTTCTTTCTCTTTCTATCTTCACTATTTCTCAGTTCTCTTTCTAAGATCTAAGAACTTTTACCTTGAGCCTATAACAAGTTTGGTCCGACCATCTAGACCCAAGGATAGAGGCTTTGAAAAAATCAGTGGATTCCTTGAGGAAGACAACCAGTGGATTTGACTTGAATTTTGATTTGTTTTGAAATCTAGATTTCAATTTGCTAACTATAAAATGCTTTATTTGGCTTTAAAATGTTATTATCTAGATGTTTATAATGTTTCATTATGACAAGATATATTTTATGCTATTTTTAAATATTGATTATCAATCTTATGATTTACCATTCATTGGGAAAGTATGTTGTTACGATCCTATTGCAAGGTATGGGATTTGGAGTCTCACATTGGTTATATGGGTGACTAATGTGGAGATTATATAGACTTTGGGCATTCCTACCTCTTGAGCTAGCTTTTGGGATGAGGTTCTCCCAAGGTTCGTATCATATGCCTTTGGATTCATGATTTGATAACCATGTTTTACACTTAAATATGTTTGTTTAACTCTTACTATGTTGATTTTCATTAAAACTTGTTATGTGTAATGAATTTCCAGTGTTGTATCTTGACATTTATTTTTACAATTATTTTTTTTAGGGATAGGATATTGTGCCTACCTTTTTTTAATGCCTACTCTACCCACTCATCTCTAACACCATTAGATTAGAATCTCAACCAATCTTTATCCTTTGTCTCTCCTCTTAAGATTCTGATCTAACGGTATTGGAAAAAAATAGGTAAAGTAGGTATGAGAAAAGATAGGCATAATAGCTTATCCATTTTTTTTAATGTATATCAGACCCATGGGTTTAACCCATTCATGAGACGGCTGAGCTGGGTTGGGCTGAAAAAAAGAAATTCCCCCAACCCAACCCACAACTTTGATGAGTAGATTGGATCCAAAACTACCTCTAACCGAACCGAGAGACACCCCAAGTTATCAAGCACCAATTTTTTCCCAAAAAATAAAAAATAAAAAAACAAAAAAATAAAAAACTGCATGCACATTGTTAACATTTTATAAGGTATTTTGAAACTTCTGTTCCAATCTAATGCAATGAAGTCTCACGTTATGCAAGATGTACAACGATTATCTACGTCCTCCTGCCTAAATTTACTTCAAAAACCCAATCTATGGCAAACTTTGTTGGTATAGGAAATACTCGAACTCAGATTCACTTTCCATCTCTATGCTATCATTTTACCATCCAAGCAAACCTCATAAAATGAACAATCTACCATATCCTACATGATCATTCCTTTCCTAAAAAGACTGATAGTCTATCTCATCTCTAATTGTAGAATACCAGTATGTTATCAAAATATATTTTATGCTATTTTTAAATATTGATTATCAATTTTATGATTTACCATTCGTTTTGATTTGTGATTCAGAAAATATGCCTTTGGATTCATGATTTGATAACCATGTTTTACACTTACATATGTTTGTTTAACTCTTGTGTTGATTTTCGTTAAAATTTGTTATGTGTAATGAATTTCCAATGTTGTATCTTGAAATTTATTTTAATAGTGATTTCTTTTAATGTATATCAGACCCATGGGTTTAACCCATTCATGAGAGGGCTGGGCTAGGTTGAGCTGAAAAAAGAAATTACCCCAACCCAACCCACAGCTTTGATGAGTAGATTGGATCCAAAACTACCTCCAACCGAACCCAGAGACGCCCCAAGTTGTCAAGCACCAATTTTTTCTGACAAAAAAAAAAAAAAAAAAAAAAAAAACTGCTACACATTGTTAACATTTTATAAGGTATATTGAAACTTATGTTCCAATCTAACACAATGAAGTCTCACGTTATGCAAGATGTACAACGATTATCTAGGTCCTCCCACCTAAATTTACTTCAAAAGCCCAATATTTGGCTAACTTTGTTGGTATAGGAAATAATCGAACTCAGATGCACTTTCCATCTCTATGCTAGCATTTTACCACCCAAACAAACCTCATAAAAAGAATGATCTACGATATCCTACATGATCATCCCTTTCCTAAAAAGACTGATAGTCTATCTCATCTCTAATTGTAGAATACCAGTACATATTATCAAAATAACAACATATCATCCATAAAGCTACTGATTTGATGATAATGTGTCTGAATAACCATAAGCCACATTTTATGTTTCCAAATTCCATGGTCTAATGAATTTCCATCCCTTCATCACTAAGAATGCCTTGAATAGCATATGTATAGAAAAATAATGGTCAGAAAATAATTAAATAATGAGGGAATACCAGAATGCACTGCACTCATAGAAGAATAGCCAAGAAGAAAGAAAAGGGGGGAAAACAATGAGGGTTCCACAGTTTAAATCCAAAACATATACTATTAGAATTAAAATTATTCTGTGATGACCAAGGAGTGTGATGGTATGGTTTAATTACTTAGAAATTAACTAAAAAAAAATATTTCTCAATAAATATAAATGATGATATTGCATAGAAGTCAAATGCAGACCTGGCATGCAGTATTGTCCCCATGGTTCCTATTTGAGTGGCAATGACCTGATAAGTAGACAGAAAGTTAAGAACTGTCACCATAAAAACATAGATGCACAGCTCCACCAGTACTCACCAGAAAATGATCTTCATAACCAAAAATGATAATCTCTGTTTTGTTTCCCTGACAAGTAAGCAACTTACATGTTAGAGTATAATATAAACCATTAAAGAGGCCCTCACCTAACCGCTTAAGCTTTTGGGTTGAATTGGTTTATCAGAGCCTTGGTATCACGGGTTCGATTCTCACCGCCCTCCATTTAATTAATAATTAATCAAGTTTTGTGGAGTTTCTCAGCACAGGTAGATGGGCCTGTGCACTGTCTACCCTTCAAGCCCAATGGACTCTCGTGTGAGAGGGCGTGTTAGAGTATAATATAAACCATTAAAAAGACCTTCACCCAAAAGCTTAAGCTTTTGGGTTGAATTGGCTCTTTATATTACACAACATTAATGATCAAAATTTTAATATTAGTAGTGAGGAACTTCTTGCAAACTAACATGCAATATGTATTATGAATTAGAATGTACCTAAATGTTAGTTGAAAAATTGTCATTTTAAAGTGTTACTTACATGCAATAAGTATGATCTTACTTTTTTGTTACGATCTATCCCAAGTTTGACAACCTTGGTATTGATCACTTGATCAAATGGAAGATAGTCAAATCAAAAGGGGTAGACAAAGACTTAAGAATTAGGATAACAGTAGGAGAAACCATATAAAGAAGACCTTACTCTAAATGGTTTCACTCAATTTGGATTTAAATAGAGCCCAGTAAGCATCAAATCATTGATTGATCCAAGAAGCTGGGATAAGGCTAAGTTGTTGTTACTCTAAAACTCAACATTTCCTTATGTTATTCTTTCTCTCTTCCTATCTTTCCGTGCCAATGCTTCAAGACATAATAAACGTGGCAGAGTTTTAGAATTCGTAGAATGGGTGTTAAATCTATGTGAACTGCTCATGGACGTTCCTTGCCAATACAGAGTTTGTTGTTTCTAAGGGAATTTATTTTTCTATTAAAAGAAAGAAAGAAAAAATCAAATCCTTCTACCGCTGCTTGTCTACAACACGTAGCAGAGGAAGTAACTTACAGAGGGATTTTTCAACTTTCATTTTCTCATAGTTTCCAAACCCTAAGAGGAATGAAGTGAAAGCCATGCATACCTTGATTTCCAAAGAGAAATTGACTTGGGAAACAGGAAATTGTGTGGCTAAAGAAGTGCTGCTGTCTATACTCATTGAGAAAGGTGAAATTGCCAACAATGGTGTTGACGCTTCACTACCAATTGATTCTCGTGGATTAGCAGCAACAGTCTATACAAGTAGCAAGGGTTTTTTCACAGGTCGCCTTGGACTAATTTTGTTGATGAGAAACAGTATAAAATCTTCTAAAAAATCATTAAAACACGGTAATTTTATTTAAAATAATATTTTTTTTCCCTAAAATAAAATATAATAATGTTTTAAAACTAGGATCAGTTATATAAAATAATATAAATAATAAATAAAATATACATAAAAATAGGGACGTGTTGCTTTTCTACTGATCAAATGCATCCCCAATCATGAAGGGGTTTTGTTTATAAACAACAAACTTCACAATCATTTTTAGTCATATTAGTGAGCAACGACAATATGATAATGGTTAATTGTCAAAATTATTAGTTGAAAAAGATTGTAATTTCACGTGGCGTGTCAAAATAGGTCCACAACACGAATTTGACATTACACGAATACATGCAAAATAAATATGACAAAAAATTTTATTCGTGTCAAATCTTCAATATAAACATAACACAAATTTTTTATGAGTTGACACGCATAACATGAATGACATGCAAATTAAGAGTCAAAATAGTAATGGACCAAAACAATTTAAAAAATTGGTCAAAATCTAAAAAAATAATAATAATAAATAATTAAAAAATACATATCGACACAAATTTGACATGATATAACACACGCACAACACAACATAAATTTTGTGAGTCATTTTTTTAATATGAACTTTTTACTGATCAATCCAAACACAAATTTTTGTATTGTGTGTCGATCAAGTGACACCCCTAATTTTACGACCTTGCACTTGGAGAGTTCCATGCTGTGAGCTGTCCCACATGTGCATGTTGCATGTATTACTGTAAAACATTAATACTGAGAATAATGATACACTTCTTCCAACATGTTTTATAATATTCTATATTATTTTGCTAATTTATGTGAGTTCTACTAAAATATCTAGGCTATTCTCTGTTTAGTAAAACTCACCTGAAATTCATCCAGTAACAAGTATATTGAAAACAAAAGTGACAAATTTCACAAAAAGAATTACTTTTGTAGTTAATAAGAAGAGTAAATATCTTTTATGGTCCTTAGCAAATTTTATAATATCCGTTTTAGTCCCTAACAAATAAAAAGATCCATTGTGGTTTCTAAAAAATTCAAAATAGACCCGTAAAAAATTCAAAATAGACTCATTTAGTTGAAATTGTAGTTTCTCACAAATTCAAAAAAAATACATATTAATCCGGACTAAAATGAGTTCATCTTGAATTTTTTAAAGACCACACTGAGCCTTTTTATTTGCTAGGAACTAAAGCGAACATCGTAAAATTTGCTGAGGACCAAAAAGAATATTTACTTAATAAGAAAACTAGTTTAGTGTAAGCCCCGTCGTCAAATGGTCTTGAAAATTCTCGAAATAATAAAACCCCAAGCATATGCGGTTGCGACAATTACTCCATTGAAGTCGAAGGCACAAATTAAGTGAAGATCATACATTCTTTAATGGTCGTATTGCAACCATTTTCAGTAGAATTGTTCCTTTCTCCTGATCATTCCTCCCTCCCATGAAGCTTCTTTTCATTTTTTATTTCAAGTGAAACTGTTTTCTATTTTTAAATAGAGGACTTAAATCTTAAAAACTCATTTGCAGACAAAACGCTGAGCACCTAATAGAATCAGAACAGTGTCCATGAGATGGGACAAGCCGCACAATAGAGACATTACCAAGTAACGTGGACTAAATTGTACAACAGCATAGGCAGTGGAGACACAAGTCACCATATCCTGGTCATTTATTCATCCAAGTAATTAGTTTTTTGTGTAATCTAACTAAACAAGATTTGTGTCACTGAAGACAATAAATTTTCACGGTACCTAAAGTCCACAGGAAAGAAACTAGAACTATGGAACATCAAATGCTACTTATTTCCTCTAAGCAACAGTTTCACAATCAACTGGAACCAATTACAGGCTCTATAAATAACTTTCTTGGCACATCACCCTAATTTCCTCTTCACTGCTGAAATCAATGACCAAATAAAATTGCACCATTGAAGTTTCAAAACTTACATCTACTCCATACTAATTAACCTAAACCAGAGTTAGTTCCTGATACAGGCCTCAACAATGGATGATTGGTAGTGGGCTGCACATTACTAGGGGCATTGAACATGGCATTTGAAGAAGCTGATTGCGATTGCTGTATCATAGATAGGGGCAATCTTTGCCCCAACCCAAACATTGAAGGTCGTGTGGCAAAGGACATGTGTGGATGAACTGGTTGGTTGTTGCCATACCCTGAGATGCTAGGCTGCGAGGGAGAAGCAGAGATCATTTGTTGCCTATTGCTGCCATTACTAGCCATTGAAGGACCAACACCTGATGCATTCATTGGAGGTGTGACTCCCCCAGTTCCAAGACGTGCTGATATAATGCGGGACCGTTCAGCAGCAAACCTCTGCTTTGCCCTCTCGACTTGTTCGCATTCTTTCATCAACAATGTTTCAATTTCCGCAAACTGTTTCAGCTTCAATTCCAATCTTTTCAACTGTCAATAACAGCAAGCCACTAACGTAAGTTAAACACATCAAAATACTAGTTCTGCACCTGATTTTGAGTTTTCTCCAATAGCTTAATTTACCTAATTCTGCAAAAAAATGTTTAACTGGTGTGTATACATGCATGCCAACCAAATAGAAACGGACGGAGGAGAGATGAAGTATATTGATATTTTAGTTGAATAAACTAAGATTGGAAAAGTTAAAAAGCAACAGCTATACCTCATGATTAATTATATTAGCACATAGTCTCTGAATTTCTCGTTCTTCATGATCGGCAAACAATTTAGCTTTCATTGCTGCAGCAGAGAGGCCTGCTTTAGCTGCATCTTTAACTTTCTCAGCAGAGAGTGGGGTTATCCTACCTTCACTTTGACCCCATGAACCAAGTACTTTTGCCTTATCGTCTGAAATCAAAAGAAGCATTTCTAAAGAAGAAAACTACATACTCGGTCTTATTGGAGGTTGGGGCATGAATGCATATCAGCAAAAGAAAAAAGCAGCGACCATGACTGACCATTTTGATTATTTGAATTTGCAGTTTCTCCACGAGAGCCACCATCTCTACAATGTGTGTTTTCTGGAATTTTCCTTCATGGGTGAAAAATATTGATTTTTAGTACAAAATTCATAAAGTAGTAACCACAAAAACGTAGCAACCACAAAAACAAAAGTTCAAATTAATTTTCCCACTCTACCCACCCATATGATGCTACTATAGTACAACTTAATAAATCTTGTCTTCCCTTCTTTTCTTTTGGGGGTGTTTTAGGTAAGGTTCGGTTGTTCTGTATAACATTTTTTTTTAATAAAAGAAAATTATTTGATATAAAAAAAAAAGAACAATACAGAAGCAGAAGATGTGTACAAAAAACAATGAGGAACAACCAAGGAGAAAATGCTTTATCTAATAAAACATGTGCTATGACAATTACATTCACCTATTATCATGTCCTGGTGCTTCCATCTGCGACGTGCTGCCAGAATTATCCTCTGACAATACTGCTAATGCAGCATGAGCACAAGAAGCTGCTACTCTCGGTCCAACCGCAGAGGCTAAAAAGGCAACCTTTAGAATACATCAACCAAAACCAGACATGTAAGAATCTCTTCAAAAGAACTGCAGATAAAAAGGCAGTTTAGTTTGTTGTGAAACTTAGGTACATATCTAGATACAACCTCTTAGTATATCATACTTTTATTGCTTTTTTAAGCAAGTGTGGTGATCAATAAACTTGCTCCTTCAAGGAAAAGCAACGCAGCTTGAAGAAATTAGTTTTTTCTTTTAAATGTTTTTTATAAATAAACTTGAATAAATAAGTTCAGGACAAAAAGTTAGGTGCACTACTGATGACCAAATCCTATTTTTATTTATAAACATGTTTTCAAGAACATCTTTTAATTAAATAATAACTTAGGCATATTGTTAGCAGTCACCTACCAGAGCCATAACAGGATTTCCAGAATTTGCAAAAGGAAGCCGGCTGTCAGAATCTCTGATTTGATGGACAGGTCCTGTGAGAACAGGATATGAAATCAAAACCATATCAAAGAAAGTTGGTTTAGAAGTATAAAACAGACCTGCAGAATCTCCGTTCAAGTAACCATGCAATCTTCCATTATCATCTCTATTCATCACATTGGATGGCAAAGACATGCTTGGAACATTGATATTTTCCAATTTTCCATCTTCCATAGGTAGACGGAGAAAATGAAGAATGCATTGTGCTTTTGACTTGGTACCAACATGCTCAGCAATTTCATTCCAGTTCTCATTGTAAATCTCCACTGCTTCCAGTAGCAGTAAAGTTTCTTGATCAGTCCAACTATCCCCATCTAGGTCTCCATAATCCCTGGTAGAATCCACCCTTATAAAATCTATACTCGAATGACCAATGACAAATCTCCCATCATGAAAGCAATCAGTGCAGAGTAAAATATCAACCTGTAACATGAAATGCTAATTACATATTATGAAAAAGGTGCTCAAAGTTACTCTGCAGCCTACTTAGTATAGAGAAGGGTCATCATAATGGGCCCATAATTTACAAACTTTTGGTACTATTCATCAGGCAAAGGAACACTCAACATATAAAAGTAATTTTGCATAAAACTTGAAATAGTCTGAATTAATCAAGCAAAAAGACTCTCTCTCTCTCTCACACACACATCAACACAAAATAGCAAAGATTTCTCAGCTGTCAGATCAGTCTTTATTATGGTTAAAAGACAGATGATCTATTGACGTCTTAATGAGATCTTAATTTCAAGACATAAGTACTAAGAGCAGAAAAAATTCTAGTGTATGATGCGACACAGGACACAAGAATGAAAAAAGTTGAGGCAAAGCAGTTAAAGTAGTTATAGAATTAATTAGGTGATTAAGATTAGTCACAAAATTGGTTGGGTGGTTAGCTTAAGTAGTAGAAGCGGGTAGAAGAAGATTCATTATGAATTGTTGATACTGGAGAACCAAGTACTAGCACAGTTGTAAAAAGGGAAACCCTTTGTTGAAGGAAAAACCCTTGGAAGGAGATTTCTCACTTTTCTTTGTTTTACCATCATAGAAGCATTCTTTCACTTTCTCTCTTTTCTCAGCTCTCCCTCTCTGAAATCTCGAATTCTATTTTTGGGAGGGTAACAATTTGGTCGGGCTTGCAGCATCTCTTATTGGAGAAGAAATTGAACAAAGGTAGAAGCATTAGATAGTTTGGTAGAGTTTTTGAAGAAGACAATCTGCAACTACAGAATGTGATCACGCTCTGCATGCAAATGGGGCAGAAGTCCAGAAGAATATTGATGGTTTAGAAGGAATTCAGAAACTATTGATATGTGGATGAAAAACAGGTTAATGCCTTGAGGTGGAGGAAGACAAGGAACAACCCACTCGAGAGACATTGAATTCATGGCCGAATAAGCAGAAGGCAGAGACACAACTGGACGGGATTCAGAGTACTTTGTCGATGAATGCCTGTCTTGGGCAAGAAAGGTCGAATTGCAAACCACAATGGCAACGACCAGATGGGGGGCATGCTCATGACGAGAAATTCTTTGAGGTGCAGCAGACGAGGCTGACTGTAAGGTTCAACTAGGGTTTGTAAGCATAGAAGGTTTGACAGTACAATAGTTCTGTTTTTTGAGGAAGAAAATGCTGGACTTGACCTGGGAAAGGCTGATGGCAGCAATGATACAAATATTCAGGGGAAGAAATTTGTGCAATGTATATGAAAGGTTATCTACTCCGCGACAAAGGAACTCTTGGGGTATTTCTTGGGAGGATCAATGATTAAAGTGAAATGCAGTGGGTGGATGCATGACCCTAACAACATCACAAAGGCCACAAATTTGGCTAAAGATGTGGAAGAGCAGCCGAATGCTCTGACAGCAAGTTTCCAGCATGACATAGGTGGAGGAATTGTCTCCCAAATGGGGTTCATTGGAGCAGCTCCAATGGGCTTTAACCAGCCTAATTCAAGAACAGTCATCTTTGGGCCCAATTGGCGATGTTGCAAGCCCGGTCAATTATTCAGACAGGAGCACGTTGGGAGGGATAAAGCTCCAATACACTCAGACAACCAACTCCAGTGCTAGTAGCGCACTAGCGTGAACACAATGAAATAGAGGAGTTAAACAGCTGCCATATCAGGAATATATTATAAGGGAACTGGGTAGCACTAGTGTGTACCACTACCCACAACAAAATAGAGGAATTAAACAGCTGCCATATCAGGAATATATTAGAAGGCAACTGGGTAAATATTTTCGGTGGGGTAACCAATTGGTCCCCTCTGATGCATGGAAAAAAATGTGTCGAACACCGACACCGCGACACGCTTCAGACACCGAGTCAATATTTTTCAACACGCTGACAACATTTTCCGACACTTTTTTTTTGTTTATATCCAAATTTTATTTTATTTTTATCTTTTTTAACTAAACATGAAAAATTAATTTATAAATCAAATATTTTCTGTTATGAAATTTGACTTGAAAAATTATTTTTTCTTTATATTTATGTTATAGAATTTGAATATTGGATTGATTATATGACTTATTATGAGCTACTATATATATTAAATGTAAACTATATTATATATATTAAAAAAATTATTTAATATCAAAATGTGTCCTAACGTGTCGAAATCTAATATTTTTTAGAATTAACATGTCGGCGTGTCGTATCGTGTCATGTCCCATGTCGGTACAACATAGTTGGTCCCCATGCACAAGTGCCCACAAAAAAGTATGAGGATTACAATCTTGGCAGAATATGAACAAGAGGATGAGGATGGGGAGATTCCCAGACTCAGGAGGGAGAAGCATTGTCAGAAGGTGACCAGCGAAAGTTCTCTTGCAAGAGGAATCCCCAATTTCAAACTTTAGAACAATGTTGAACTTCAAGGGGAAGGCAATGAAAAATGAAAAACAATCAAATAATATATCTAAGCTCCACGAACATGGCTGGAGACGTTGTAGAAATGGATTTAGCTGGAATGACAACATAGCAAGAACTAAAACTTCTCCAAGTTCATCAAGAACATCATTTGGAAGTTACAAACCACAAGAAAACTTAGGAGACCCAATTGACATTGAGGCTAGTGTGCATCACAGCCATGATTGCAGGCATGACATTGAACAGCTTTTATTATATGTTTGAGCCAGTTTGGCTCAATGTTTGTTACTATTTTACTTATGAGGATTCCTTATTTTCCACTGGTGGTACTTTCTCTACTTTCTTTCTAAAAACTTCTTCTATCCTGGAAAAATGGGAGTTCCTTTCATATAAAAATACCTATCGGAAATTATGAAGGAAAACATGGAAAAGAGAGAAGATAGAAAATATTATTAAAGAGATGAAATGTCTAATACAAAAACACTGATCCAGTACTCCTATTTATATTAATATCTAGGTCAAGCACTAGTGTAGTACAACTAATATAAGCCTAGCCTAAAAACACTACTAACAAAATATGATTTGTAAAACAATAAATACTAACATTTTAACACTCTCCTTCAAGCTTATACTTTGCTCGTAAACATCAACTTGTTACAAATGAACACACCTAACAAAGAAAATAACTTTAAAATATAGTGCACATTGGTATACATTAACCACATAATGTAAAAGGCATTCCGAGAACAGTAATCCAATACTCCTATCAACACAAATATTGTAGGTCAAGTACTAATATAGTACAAGCCCAACCTAATACATCGCTAAACATAATAGGACTCCTAAAACAATAAGAACCCCAATATTCTAACAAGACCTAATGATGCATTGATCCTATCAGAAAAAATAGTTTCACATAAGTGCTTTTCCCTGTAAATTGATTAATAAACTTTCACATAACACAAACATAACATTTCTAAGCAATTCAGTAGCAGTTTACTGACTATTTGGGAGTCACTTTCATAACACTGAGCAAGAGTTATAAACAAACACTCAGGTTCAAGAAGTAGCAGCAAATAATCAGCATAGTATGTTTCCCTCTAAATGACATCTTGCGACAAAACATCGCTAGATGCCCCCTCAGATGACAAACCAAATCTCACTTCTTTTTTATCTTTTGATTTGTTTGTGTATTGACCCAAGTGAAGGTAGAGTTTATTCAGAATGTCAGCTTCAAAGAGGAACACACACACACACACACACAGAGAGAGAGGAGAGAGAGAAAAGAGAGTAAGCCATTTCTGAATGTCTTGACCCAGTTCTAAAGTGAAACTGGAACTATATAGAGACTACAAGCTGAAGCTTGGCAGAGAAGCTTCTGGAACCATCTATTCTAATGTCAGTTACAATGTGAGACAGTCTAACAAACTCTAAACAGAACCTAACAAACCCAGCTAACAGAACAGCTTTAACAAACAACTCAACGAAGGCTATTGGTAGCCTTTACTCTATTACAGGTTAATGCAACATTCCCAGAAATATTAAAGAACTTCTATTTCTGGATTTTTAATTTTGATTTTATTAACCAGTTTTAAAAGTTGACCAAATAATCTTTCAACTGAAAGAGGGTTTATCTACAGCAGCTATATATATATACTGAACATTAAATGTAACGACAGCTCTCCATACACATGCATTGTCATATGGTCTTATTAAATAACTGAAGCACTTTCTATTCATCTTTTCATCCAGCACGTTACCTATATGACAAAAAGAAACGGACACCCATAGGACCATGATATATTATTAAATTTAAAACAAAAATCCAGCATACCTCTTTTTGAGACTGATAGTATACAACAGGAAGAGGACGAGAACAATAATTGCAATGATTTTCAGATAGATGCTCTCTTATTCTGTTGTCCAAATCAGAGACATCAGCATTACGTATTGTCAAAGACGAATAAATTTCATCTGCTTTGAGCTTACACTTGGGCTTGTCAAATTTAATCAAACTATCAATGGATTTCAAAACCTCGGATGGCACACGGATCTCTCCACCTGTCTCCTCCCTCAGACAGGACAAAGCATCCCAAGGCTCATGACTTGGCATCCTTGCACAGTAATTGATAATCCCCCAGTGATCAAGGAACCGGAAAATTCGAGTTAAATCTTCATTATCAACCCTAACCAATATTCCCTGGCAATCAGAAACGACAATCCTCTTCCCCAGGTCCTCCATGTATAGTGCAACAATGTAGTTCCTACATTCCATGTACTTCTCTGGAGTATGATCAGGCGATTTCCCTGAAAAGAAATGTGGCACTGCTTGTCTCTCCAGTCGATGAACCGTGGCCGGTGAAAACCAATCTGCTCATAGAAACTCAAAATTAACATCAATTCAAAGTGCTCAAAGTTCAAACTTGAAGCGGAAGTCTTAAAAATCTCAAAAACTATTCCACCCCACCAACCCAGAATAGAACTTTGAAATTCATCCCAACAGGAAGATGCCGAACAAGTAAAAGAAAATAGGAAAAGGAGATAGAGGAGAGAACCTGAATGCATGGGGAGTACGAGAGCCCTAGTTCCGAATCGCTTAACACCGCCACGGCCTTCCAAAATGGGAGGTGAAGTAATGACATAAGAGGAATCACTGCGATCATGATCCAAAGCGGGGCTATCAGAGGGCACGGTGGAGAGTGCCTGGAGCTGTCCATGTGACACATTCTCCAAAAACGGAGGATTCTGGAGCTGACCCTTGCTGCTATCGCCGGACTCCATAACACGCTCCAGAGCCACGATTGCGGTAACAGACGAGTGAGGACGATTCACTGAGCGCTTTATCACAAAAGGGAACTGCGAAATCTGGACCACGTGGTCAGAGAGAACCTCCATCTCGAAATTAGGGTGGTTGTGGTTGTGGTGGGTTTGGTCCTCCGAATCGTAATCGCGTTCCAGGTGATCTTCCTCCGCATTGGGGTTTTCTTCTTCGTCGTCGTCGTCTTCTTCGTGCTTTTGTTGACGCCTGCTGATTTGAGATTCTCTCTTCCGCTTCCTCCATTTGGTTCGGTTTTCTGCCATAATAATAACAAAGGAAAAAGGAAATTGAGAAAACATATGCTAGATTGAAGATGAAATGAAAATTTGCATGAATTGGAAGATTAGGGTTGGCATTGTAGAGAGAGAAATGGAGGAGAGAGAGAAGTGAGGGTTTAAGAGAGTAAGAGAATACCTGAAGGGGAAGCTGGCATGGCAACAAGGGAGAGGGGGGTTTAAGAGAGAGAGAGAGAGAGAGAGTGCGTTTTTGTGGGAAAATTTTGATTGTTTGTGGGGTCGTTGATTGGCGCAAAGGAAATGGAATTATTGGGAAAAATAATTTTGAGTTTTGAGGATCGTTCTTTCTCTCTCTTTCTCAGATGTGTGTATGTGTGCGTGTATGTGAGAGACGTTAGGCAACACTGGATTTGAGTTTTGGGGCAAAAACTGTGTTGATGTGCGTCTCTGCTGATGTTACCAGAATGAGAATGGTGGTGGGTGTAGTGTAAAATTCTGGCGGGCTGACTCCATTAGCGCGTGATTGATACGCGACTTTCCTATTTGGGAGTGCAACACACGTGAAGCTTGAGCTGCCCTCATCATTCTTGTTTCTTTTTCTTTAAATAAAATCTCAAATATCTATTTGCTATTTTTTATTTTATTTTCTTATGTGCCTTCCATTTGTATTAAAAAGTAAATAATAATCCTAACTTACTTAAAAAGTAATAATTTGTTGGTGTAGTGCCTTGACAAAAAAATTGCATTTTTATCGGTGCTTAAAAATTCGACCCGATCATCGATCCGGCCGAAGTCAGGGGTCACAGAATCACTATGCTGATCCAGTTTTATATATTAAAAAAATATAAATATACATATCCTATATGAAAATATAAATATACATATCATTTGGAGTAATTCTGAGATGAGTGACCTTCTGAGAAGTTTTTCTCAGGAAGTGTGTGAGTAAGGATAAAACATGCTGAAAATCTCATGTTAGTTCGTGGGAACAATCATTGACCCTTGCAAGTTGTCGAGCGTTATAAATGGTATCAGAGCAGAGCATCTCTCCCAAAACGATGTGGTTCGAAGACGAATCAGGCGGAAGCTGGTGGGCATGTAACATCCCAAGAGTTGGCAAGGGCAGAGAGTGATCGCTCATGCAAAAGAGGCATGGACAATAAGCAACTCATTCCAAATCTTGTAGCTGGAGGTATATGAATGAATCTAATCAACACCCGAAAAAGAAATATGTCAGATATTGTACTGGTATGAGACAACACAGTTGAGGATAACTTATAATAATTAATTGGTACTACTTACAATAACAAGATGTATCTACTTTTCGATAGCCTGGAGTGGAAGAACTTCATAATTAAGTGTGTTTCACTTGGAGTGATTATACAATGAATGACTTTCTAAGAAGTTTTTTCAAAAAGTGTGTGCATAAGGATAAAACACGCAAGTCTCGTATTAGTTGGTGGAAATAATTATTAATCCTTTCTAGTTGGCAGATATTACAGATAAGTAATTCAAAGGAAAATCATGGGCTATTTGAACTTTTTCCAAAATAATATGATGCCCAAACTTAATTAGCTATCTAAAATGCATTGAAATTGAAGTTTGAATCTTCCTTAATTACAAATATGAAACTTTGAGCATGTTTGACACATTTTTTGTAAGTTAAAATTTAATTTTAAGTTAAAGTTAAAAAAAGAGTTTAAAAAATAATATATTTTTTTTTATAATTATATAAAATTGTTCTGAAAAAAGAGGTCAAATGATTTATGATTACATTAAATTATAAGAGCAAATGATAAAATTTATAAAAAAAAGTTTTGAATAAGAGTATAATTGAAAAATAAATTTGAGAATTCCAAAAGGAGACATACATATTAAAAAAACTACTCCCGAAATCTTTTAGCTTTTAACTTATTTTTTCATTATAAAAAAATTATTTTAAAGATAAGAGTTTTTATAAAATTATATTTAACTAAATTTCTACTTATAAAAAAAAAACAGAACCTAAAAATAAGAACTCTAGTATTGCTTGTTAAGCGCATTTACAGTTTGATTGTTTCTTTCCATTTATAAAATCGTTTCTTGAAGTACTTTTAAGTTTATTAACTTAATATTTGATAATCATTATCATATTAGAAGATGATATTGATGAAAAATAACTAAAATAGACAATTAGCTTTTTTTTTTTTATCTTGCATAATGGGTCCCATTTTGTTTGTTTGTTACAGATAAAATTATCTAGGTGAGAAAGATATTCCCTTATAAAGAAATAAAAAAAGAAAAAGAAAACCGACGGTGTTATTAGCTTATTTTTTTTAATCATATCTCTTTTATGATTTTATTTGAAAGCCCAACAACCAGAGAATCACAACCCAATAATGAGTAACGACCCGACCCGTCACTATGTTGCCGTGAGCCCGTTACCTTGTCCCTGCTACCTAAGGTTGAAGCGTTTGCACATGAACTCATTGAATTTGAGACGACCCATCCCGTTCCCCCTCATGAAGAGGAAAAGATCCCCAAAATCGGTGGCGCCACCTCCCTCAACGCCTCCACAAACCCAAACCCGCCGCTCCATTACCACCGCAAAAGCTTCCTTGTGGGTCCCTCTCAATGTGACACGACAAGAGCTTTCTTTGCCCCTCACCTTCCCCACCGGCCAAACCTTCCGCTGGAAAAACACCGCACCGTCACAATACACAGGTGTCGTTGGGTCCCACCTGCTATCCCTCAAGCACCTTCAAAACGGCGACGTTTGCTACTGCCTTCACTCCGATACAGACTCCGATGTCACAACTTCATTGCTTGATTTCCTGAACGCCAGCGTTTGTCTCGCTGACACGTGGAAGGTGTTCTCGGATTCCGATGCAAGGTTCGCTGAGCTGGCACGCCATTTGTGCGGTGCTCGGGTTCTCAGGCAAGACCCTCTCGAGTGCTTGATTCAGTTTCTATGTTCTTCCAATAACAACATTTCAAGGATTACCAAGATGGTCGATTACGTTTCATCTTTAGGAACTTACTTGGGTACTGTTGGGGGTTTTCAGTTCCACGTTTTCCCCACTTTGGAACAGCTTTCATTGATCTCAGAGCAACAGCTTAGAAACGCTGGTTTTGGTTACAGGTTGGTTTATCTTTATCCTATTCCTATATTTATAACTGTTCTGATTTTTTTTCATATCAATGTCATGTGATGATGACTAAATTGTCTTCCTTGTAATAGGGCTAAGTATATAATTGGCACGTTAAAAGTTTTGCAATCAAAACCTGGTGGAGGGGAAGAATGGCTTCTCTCTCTTCGTAAGATGGAACTTCAAGATGTTATATGTGCCCTTTCTACGTTACCTGGTGTTGGTCCTAAAGTGGCTGCTTGTATAGCTCTATTCTCACTTGATCAGCACCATGCCATTCCTGTTGACACCCATGTGTGGCGGGTAAGCTCTTTACTAGTTTACTTTCACCAACAAGTACTTCAAGTTGAAACTTGTCACCGAATTGTTTCATTTTGGTGTCAATGTCCAAGTCTTTTGTCTGTTTTTCAATGCTTGAGTCTTGTCACAACGGTTAAAGTTGTTGTCACATGACACAGGTTCGAATCATGTAATTAGCCCCTTGCAAATGCAAGGTAAGGCTGCCTACTATAGATGCACACAATGGGTCTCAGTGGACCCTATATGTAGCGGGAGCTTTACAGCGCCGGGTTGCCCTTTTAATGTTCTTTTCTAGATGATAGATATAGTTACAGCATGCAGCAAGCATGTCAACTTAATCCCTTTTTGTAATAGAGTGAGGTGCTAAAATGTACTAATGAAAGGGAATTTGGATATATAAGAAGAAAAAGATGAAAGCAAAAGAGTGGATTTATTTTATCATTTAGGGGAAAAAAATTATCTGTAAGTTTCATTGTGTAGCTTTAGGAGGATTCCTGATCTTCATGTCTGTAATTTCTCCTTTCTTAATTGAATTATTTTATACAAAAAAACTTATCATCTCCGTACTGTTGAGTGTTAATTTGCATGTATCAATTTTAAACTTGGGTAAGATTGCCACAAAGTATCTCTTACCTGAGCTTGCAGGTTCCCAGTTGACACCAAAGCTCTGCAATCGTGTTGCAGAGGCATTTGTAACCAGATATGGTAAATATGCTGGCTGGGCTCAAACTCTTCTATTCATAGCTGAATTACCTTCACAAAAGGCCCTCCTACCTTCACATCTGTTGACTATCAAACAGCACAAACCCGCAAAGATAGAAGACAGTGAAGAAGTTGGTAAGAAAAGCAATTGTAGTCAGTCAATCTTGACCTTATAAATTAGGCCCTTCGACATTCAACTTTCTGGCTTCTGCAACAGCAGTTATTTAAGATATTTACCTTTTCCTTTTCTGCTCTAGAGTGAGATCTACTGATGGTGTTGCTCTCAGGATATAAAAGCACGAGACATAGGTGAGACATGCTACTGTCAAGAATTTATGAGATAGATCATGGTGGCAATCACACTGCTGGATGGAGGATGATGTCTAATCTGCTAGATGCAGGTTATTCCATTATACATACTGTTAAATGATCGGTGTCTGGCCTTCATTCTTGTTCTTTGCATTTTATTATTAGCTTCAAATTGATCTGTTGTAATTGATCATATTTGTATCTTTCTTATTTATCAGAAGAGAAAGAAGAAAGATGTATTTTTCCACTTCCGATTTTGCTTTCCATGTAAATAAATACTTTGCCTAATTGATTATTTCCTTTGATTTTAGCTCCTAAAGAATAAAAGACTCGACTTTTGCTCTTTCAGTTCTTATAGCTTAATTAGTGGGAAAAAAACTGGGGGTTTTGCTGCAACTCGTGAACTTGCTCTATCATTCTCTAAATGTGTACTTGAACATGTTCTTTTGTCTAATGAATGTTGATATGCACCTATGCACTTCCTCTAGTGGCATGGATTGATGTATAAAATTTCCAGTCTTTGACACTTACTCCTTGATGTTTTTACTGTGAAGTACCATTGCATGCATGACATCAAGTGGCAGCACATTTTGCCTTTTTCTCCATTATTTTTTATGAGCTATGTCAATAGGTACTTTGAAAGGGTGATGTTCACTCTAGCATTGGTATTGAAAAGTAATGTGTTTTGTTGAATTTTTCATTGGAACTTGCTTTGTTTCTATAAGAGATTACTTTGCGTTGCTTTTCCTTTTTATTGTTTTAGCTCATAACATGTGCTCCTTCAAATACTTCTGTTGTGCACCGTGCTTCTTCTTTCATAATTGAGATCCTAGATGAGTGGATTTCTCTCATGTTTCCTTGATTATGATCAAATACTAAATATATTATACGAGTCTTATGTAAAACCCCAACTTCTAGGATTGATATTGTAAAATAATGTAATAGATCCCTCATAACTAAGGTATATTCTATGAGGGAAAATTTGAGAAGCAGGGGATCAAGTCCCAGGGGGCCATGAGGGAAACAACAAGGAAACATGAAGAATATTTTCACGTTGGGTACCTGCAGCATAACAAAATGGACAGATGGTTGAAAGAAAATGGGTCAGAGGGGAGTATAAGGGGTAGTGGGGGTGAGAAAAGGGGGTTAGGAAAGAAGTGAGGTTGGTTTTAGGTTGGGATGAAGCAGGACCCTCGAAGCTCCTGCAGTGTTCTCTTTTTTTCTTGCTGTACCTCCATATTTTGGTGAATTTCTACACTGTCTCTCTATCAATATCTTGTTGATATCAGTTCCAGAAGCTCATATAAAGACAGTTTATAGATGAATAATACAGATTCAGTTTCAGATACCTAACATAATGTGATTTGTTGAGTTCTTCATTGCACTTTGGTTTGTTACTATATACCATTACTTTAGGTTGCTTTTCTATTTATTATTAGCTCATAACTTGTGCTCCTTCAAATAGTATTGTTAAGCCCTGTGCTTCCTCTTTCGTAGTTGAAATTCTAGATAAGTGGAATTTATCCCATATACTTCTAACTGTTTATATCACCATGATTATGATCAAATACTAAATATGTTATAGGGGTCTTATGTAAAACCCCAAAGTCTATTTGATTGTTCTGATTTATATTGTATAATTCGTATTAGCCGTTTATCGATGACAAATATCATCTGCCAAGAGAATGCCCTTTGTTGACAAGGGCAGTTAACGAAGATATTGAAAATTTGTCACAATTAATGACCATTAGTTTGTCTCTAAATTGACCCTCTTTTTTATATTTTGGAAAAAATATCTAAATTTGTATCAGAGAGAGAGAGAGAGAGAGAGAGCCATGCAAACATATATTTTTCCCTTAGCTGTTACCTCTGCGCTCTCTGTCCATGTAATAGGTAACCCCTTTACAATAACCCTGAAGAATAATGCTACAAAAATAGATATCAATCCAATGATGTTTGTTATTTCCAAAAAAGTATCCATGATAGAGCGTTCTTGTTTACTCATGATGTGCGATCTTTCACTGTGATGTAAACTGTGTCTAGAGTGATCTCAAGTGGTTTCCCAGTTTCTTCTTCCAGTAGAACTAGTAGGTTCCCAGTACATTTTAGCAGAGATCGGGGTATGTGATACCTAAATAAAACGTTCGGTTGTTAGTAAATAAATGCTTGACACGCAGGTAGGGAACTAATTATATTATTGGTTATATAAGTAGTGTAAAATCCAAATTCCGAAGTGGGAAGAAAAATAGAAAATCAATTATTCAAACACAAGGTACTCCATAAATATCTGTTATTTTCGTTTGAAAAGTCAGGTACTTTAAGAAAATGATGATTCAGAACTACTAAAAGGACAAAAAAAAATCGTTTGGTAGAAGAAATTTATCTTTTTTTTTCTTTCACAAATATTATCTAAAAGTAGCTACTAAATAACACAACGACATAAAAAGTATACCTATTTTTTGAATTTAATTAAAATGTAATCATCTTTTTTGTTTTTAAATAATTATATAAATATTTTAAATTTTAATCATTTTTTGGGAGGAGCGGAGGAAGACCCCTTGAAAGATGAAATCATTATACCTTTGTGTGTTTTTTCACAATTTATTTTCGTAAGTAGGAATCTAAAAAGAAAAGAAAAAAAGTTTGTGGCATTGGAACATACCATATCTGTGAAGGAGTTCCGTTGGGTTTGTGGAAAGATACCCAATATCGGCCAATACATTGGCCATTAACCCAAGCTACTCCCTTTCCCATAGAGCCAAGGTTAAGCACTACAGGATCGTTGCCCACTGGTGCATCAAATGTGGTCTGTTAATCAGCAGTGAAATAAGATATTAATGTACTGTTAGAATAACATTTACATAAATACTCAGCAGTTATGACTTATGATGAGGAAGTAATTAACATCTTCATCTCCTTTCCAATCCATAAAAAGGGTAGTGACAGACTCTAGCACAAAGTAGTAGGAGAAACAAAAAACTATGACCTTTTTTAACATATTTAGTTGGCTTCCTTCCATGATTATCCATTCATTGTTTAGGAAAAATAATTGAACAACAAATTTTAACGATGATAATATACCTGATACCATGTGAGTGGTTTAGTAGAGCTTTGAAAACTTTCCCACTGAACTTTACTTGATCCGCTAGCTGTATAGATTTGCAAATTTTCTCCTAACAATCCAACCTTCATTAAAAAATTTAACATCAGCATGCAGTGGATAATATTTAGTTTAAATGATTAGTAATCAGACAGTTCAAACACACTTATGTTTCTTATAATTTTAAATTTTAAGCAGTATATAATGATAGTACATAGGGGTAGATTAAACAGAAATTTGTTAGCAGTTGTAGGAAAAGCAATGTTAACTAAATTCTGAGAAGTACATTACGCATAGATGTCAAGATGGTTTATGATTAGAGAAACATAATTGATATTTGAGATCTCATTTAACTGCAATCTACTAAATCAATATGTCATTGTTAAGAGATAATCACCTGATATCCCCATGATTGATGAGTGAAGTCTCTGCTTTGAACTTCCACTCTACGCAAACCAGCAACTCTGCGCTCTAGATATGCTCCTGAATTCTTCATGCAGAAATAAATGCACATTTTATGTAATCCATTGTCATTCTTTGGCTATCATATTGTCTAATATTTGTTTTGTATGATTTTAAACAAACTTTGTCTAATTCTGCAAGGGCATGCTTAGCAGATATTTGTTCAGTAGTACAGGATGCTTCGCTATAAGTCCTTAGTCTTTACCGTGATCTCAAATCTTGGTAGAAGAAACAGCAAATGAAATAGCCATGCATGTTATGTACAGAAAAATAAAAATAAAAATTGCTTGCATGTTACTTGGTACATCATCCTTGAAATTGACAATGTTTATGAAGATTAGTTCAATATGTAACGTTTGTCATTTTTATGTGGTTTCTTTTGCTTGTTGACGATGAATGAAAAAGAAGTATTAACTCTAACAATTGAGACAATTACCGGCAATCCAACTGTTGCACTAAGGAAGGAAATGTTGTTCACCCCGTTTATCAAATTAACATTGTTCTCCATGATGAAAGATACTTTGTTGTGACTTCCATGTGCAGAACCTACAGTGAAAAGCATGTATAGAGCCCAACGTCTCAAATTTTAGTATGAAAGATAAAGTGAAGCAAGCGGTGTATAATGTATTGAAGATGAAAGAAATATGTGCGTTATAATCTAAAGTGATGCTTATGTAATGGCCAAGTCTGTAACAATATTGATACTGTTACTTCTATCCAAAAAAGATGTTTTCCTTCTATCCAAAGAAACAGAATCCTCGGGGGTGAGATTAGAGCTTGCCTACTAAAACTCCATTGATGAATGCATGCAAAACATGTCCTGCACTGTGTACTCTAAGGACAGATTGAGCAATAGGAGAGTTGTCATAAAACCTGCATGAGCAAGAAGTCAACAACTATCTTAGTAAAGAATAACATTTATAATATAGCAAACATCTTTAAGTGGAAGCTGGCTTATGTACTTATGTTGCTATTTTACCTGAAAGTGTACCACATATAGTCAGATCTATCTTTTGCTGTGCTGATTTGATCTAATAGCATATTTGCTTTTAATGAAGTATCATCAAAGTAAGGGATGGCTTCTGTGTATACTTTCCAATTTTCAGCTGAATTGAACTGTAACTGTGGTTTCATTGCTCTGACATTGTTTTGAGTGCTTACCTACAAAAGCATAAAAAATATGAAGCGCCTTTCACTGGCATCGTTATATTTGTGTAACTCATTAAATTAATACAAAAAATAATGGTTAAAGGAAGATGGCAAGAAAGAAGAAACTACCCAGTAGAGGTGTTTTCATATAAAATAAATGTAGTATATACTGAGGCATTTGATTTTTTACCTTGGCGGTGTTGAATGCTACATTCTTGCAGTCTGGTAGAATACTGATTGATTTGCGGGGTAATCCATATGGAATATTTTGAAATTGTATTGTGACATCCCTATCTTCACTATTTACAAGGAAGGCAGCACATTCTGTTGAGCTCTTTTTGAAAACAAAAGCCTGAAGAAGAGGAATGGAAATGATTAATTTTGTTTAAAAGATTCAGCTTTTGGAGAGTAATTTATAAATGGGTAAAGGATTTCTCGGAGATAAGTTATCTCTGGTGAGCCCAAAGCAACGTCGTTTTGGACAGAAATCAAGGTGTTTTTGTAATTATAATATATTGCAGGGTTATATTAGTCTAGATCATTATAATTTTTTAATCTTATAATTTTAAAATTATGTCGTTTTGAGCTTACTAGAGATAACTTTATTTCCGATGAGTGGAGAAATACTTTTCCCTTTATAACTTCATTGAAATTTTTATCAATGGTTATTCACCACGCCCTCGGTTCACTTGTTCAAGTACTAGTTTAGTTATATAGAAATTAGTTTTCTTACTTCTTGTTGAGAACCCAAGCTGAACGTAGTTTGAGTTCCATAAAGTAGAGATTCAGAACATGACTTGATTGCAGCATGAAGCTCCTTAAGATGGCCCCATTTTGGTTGCCTAACTAAACCTGGTTAACTTAGCATAGTCAATCACGTAGTGATTCAATATCTGCAATTTTACGTAAATGGAGAAAGGAAAGAAGCATATACCATATTCATCCAGTGGGGCTTCATCATAATAAGCTGTTGTTACGAAAGCAGAAGCTATTCTATCGAAATTGGTTCCTCCATGGTACTGCATCAAATCCATCACGTCAGTTAACAAGAAAAAAATAGCCATAATCAACTGTGTTGAACTACCTACGCACATGCTCAGCAAGAAGAAGAGAGAAAGAATGAGAGAAACAGTCACGGCTAAGGTACAGGGCAGTAATCATACCATGTAGTAATTGACATAGCTTCCGTTCTTTGCAATGAACAAGGCAACATTGAACGCAATGTTCTCAGCTGATCTCAAGTATGGTTTTCCACCAAAGACTTGATAGCTACAAATTTTAACGTGAAATAAATGACATTAGTATAGTAAGACGCTTTGATAATTCAAAATTACCCTTTTCAAGAAAAATGGTTTGTAAATTGTAATAAGAATTCCACAAGAACATACAAACTTGTCCAATTCTCTGTCCACAGTGAAGGCTTGTCAGGTGAGTTTGGCCCCTTAAATGTTTTCCCACACTGCATACCATTGCACGTATTGATCTGCAGATTGCATGACTTAATTTATAGATGTCATAATATAATTAATAACTAATTATGTGTTATGAATCAAAGATTGTGCTTGATAAGAATTAGTAAGAATTACTAATTATTTGAGCAGATAATCCAATGATAGGTGCTAATTATTATCTTCTTTTCTGTCACAAATTAATAATATTACCCTTGAACTTGAATGAAGCACAAGTTAGTAGTGTTCCAAATTCTTCATATATATTTTTTTTTGTTACAAAAATTCTTCATATGTGAAACATTATGATAAATCAATGGAAAGTAAAATAACTCATATAGAGACTAACCACCGGATCAGGAGCATCATCTTGCTTGCACATTACCCAAGGCACCCCAGTTTGGAGTCCCACGGCCATTTGGGCAGCCCAACGAATATAGGACAGTCCTTTGTCGCGAAACGACCTTTCAACATTACCATATTCATTCTCAATCTACACGGACCATGAACCATTTATAAATACCACTGTATATGAATTAAAGTGATATATAATTGCAAAGTCTTTGTTGTTGCCTTAAAGTTTAAACCTGTGATAATATGATAGGCCCTCCCTGTGAAGCATAAAGATTGGCTGATTTCATCATGTTGACTATTTTGGTAGTGAACCTTTGCATGTGAAACTGTCATTATTAATAATATGAAGGAAGAGTTAATGAATGAATGGTATGTGAATACCAAGTTTGAGTGGAAAATATTGCATAGAGAGTAAATCATGTGTTATCGTCTAGGGAAACATAACCCGAATACTTAAATAGTTTTTAGACCAAGTTGGATAAAATTATAATAGATAGACACGTTTATGTTGTTCAAAGTATACTAGATAGAATTAAGAATAAGGAGAATTGGTACCTTGAATTGCTCATTATCAGATCTAAATACAATACCCGGAATATCATGTAACCATATTGGTAGACCCCTGCACAAAAAAATAAAAAAAGCGCAAGTCAATCTCTTCTATGTATTTCGTAATCATCATCACATTGATTAGTATCGTCGAAGTCCCCAATATAACTAAAATAATGGAATCAGACTATGTTTTAATTTGTAGCAATTTCTTTGTGTTGGAAAATGTTAGGAAGTAATAGCGGGAAGGGGATCTTACCCATAAGAGCATTCACTCTCAATGTATGGTCCAATTCGAAGGGTCACATATAAACCTTGTGCTTGAATTTCCTTAATAAATCTCACTAAATCTTGCCTTCCACTAAACTCATACTGTAAAGCAAGTGAAAAATCACAACCGTGTCATTCTGTTTGTAAGTAATAAGTTTAATAATTATGAAGAAAATATTAACGAGTTTGAGGTCACCTGGCCTTGTTGAGGTTCGTGAAGGTTCCAAAACACGTAAGTTTGTATGACATCTAATCCCCCTTCCTTAGCTTTCGCAATTAAATTAGGCCACATCTGTTAAAATTAATAAAGAACATTACAATTCACAATTTAAAGGTGTTTTTTTTCTTCATCTGGCTCTTACCCTTTCAAACACATGACTTTTCTACACGAAAGCATGTTGTCCCTGGCTTCATTTGAGCCTAAGTGGTCTTAAATTTGAGCAAATTACTATCTGATTTTCAGAATTTTGTATTAATATAACCGTCCTTTTCAATGTAAAATGGATATAAATTTTTTCCATTCCTAAATAACGTTGTAATTAATCCTGCTTATATTAATTATCATGCCTAATTTGATATCGGCACCCCCAAAATATATATATGGGGTAAGTTATGATATAAGAATAAGGAGTTTTATACCAAATTTTGATCATTAAATTGCTTGCATCTAACGACTCGCATATCTAGTAAATTAGAACCGTTAAATATAAATATAATCAATGACCAAAATTAAATGTGTAAATTATAATAGTGTAAAATAATCCTGACCATATTGTTTCTTCTGCCACAGAAGATAAATTTATCTATAGCGACCCCAAAATCACATCATTTTGAGGGTTAGAGAATTAATAAAGGATATTTTTTTAAAATTGTATAACAAAAAAATAAATAAAATAAATAAAATTCATAAAATATCTTTCATTATTCTTTCAATCATGTAGATAATTTTATCACTGGTGGCAGAATATATATATATATATATATATATATATATATATATATATATATATATATATATATATATTGAAGTGGAAAAAAAAAAAAAAAAAAAAAACTCAATCCTATTAGCTTTACTCCAACAAGATCCAGTCAAACGCTGAAGACAATCGGGACGAAACGAGCACATTAAAATAGTATAAGCTCACTACCACTCACATAATAGTCAAACTATATATAATTTAAAAGGACGAACTCTAGCTTTCTCACGGGCCTGCCCATGTGAATCCTACACATAACATACATGCCAATACAGTACAAAATTATGACAAAGTAGTTAAACATAATTAAAATACTTCATAAAATAGAGTTAGAAGCCCAACAGTTGCACGTATTACAATAACACCAAAGAAAAACAGCTTGTCCTGTCAGATTATGCCAAAAGTTTCCCTTTGCCAGAATTATCTGTGTCAATGCTCACAGTTTTTCTGGACAATGCAACATTGTTTTAATATTTCTTACCTAACAATGACAATGAGAATAAGATGATTCCCTCGTCTCTATCTCTCTTTTGTTATGTTTCTAACATTCGCTCTCAACCCCATAAACATACAATAAAACATAGTAATAGTATATGAACTTTTTGTACCAAAAAAGCATATATGAATTATGAACTTTGAGGGAAAAAAGACACAAAGTAGTGAAGGTACCTCAGGAGTGCTACGAGGATAATGAATTGAACCGGAGAAGAGGATTTTAGGTTGGCCATCAATGATTAAGGATCTTCCATCGTACGTGACATTGTCACCGTGGACGGCTGTTAAAATAAGTGCAAGGGAAGAACAACACCACCACCACTCCACCAACACCTTCATCAACCTCACCATTCTCTAAAGCCTCCCTTGTTGTAACTTGTTAATCGCTTCTCTCAGTCAAAGTGTAAATACTGAAGCGGGTGCGTCTCCCTCGGAGAGAAACTTGGACTCTCTCTGTGTGTGTATCTGTTTGGAATTGTTAGTTGTAACAGTCATTTGTATTGACTTGGTTCTCTCTGGATGGCTAGCTACATATATTATTCATATATAATATATGGAAATAACTATTTTATATTGCAAGAAATTAAATCAAGCGAATAAATATTTGCCACGTAGACAGTGGCGGAGCCAGACTCCAACCGGAGCCCAGGTCAAAAAATTATATGTGTATTTATTTTTAATTAGTTCATATCATAATATATTTAAATTATATTAAATACAAAATACCTGAATAGACAGTATCAAAAAGGTTATAATTTTATTACATATTTTTAATTTTATTAAATAAGTGAAAATGGAACATATAACTTAATACAACTTATCCAAATCTCTCACCAAATATATTTTATTTTTTTGATACGGCCAAACTATAAATTTTAGCCCGAGCTAAATTATAATTTTAAACGGGGCCAAATTATAATTAATTATATAATTATACATGATAAATACAATTTGTTAAAATTTAGGCCGGGCCGAGCCCACCCCACCCAGCTAACATGTGGCTCCGCCACTGCACATAGACAGGGTTAACTGTAACTAGCTTGAGGATTTTTTTTAAGGAAATCATATACGACTCGTATTGCATGAGATTCATCTCTTATATTACATTCATATAAAAAAAATATGCCTTTTTTTTAAAAAAAATAAAATAAAATAGATAGATCCCATTTTATTTGTCTCACAACATAAGACAGCTTTTATCCTACTACATGAAATAACTGTAACTATATATAAGAAATTGTTATTTTTATGGTATACCCTTGTTCTAGGTTAATTATTGAATTATATATTCATTTATGGGAAAATGATTAATTTTTTAAAGAAATAACAACTGTTTACTCTGTATAAGAAACTTTGTTTTTGGTACACTCTTTTTATAGTTTCTACATCGTGTCATTACATAAGGAGAAACAAATAATGTTATAAGGATGTTAATTCATTTTATAAAATATTTTCTTATTAGAAGAGTACAGATGGACAAAAATGAAATTAAATGATACATAAAAAAAGAAAGGAATATATAATATTTAGTGTTTTACTAATTTGAGTGCACTAGTGTTTTTGGCGTAAATTAAACTTGAAAAGTATTAAATGACTAAATTATAGAAATTAGTTGGTGAAAGATTTAATCTTGAAATAAAAATAGTAAGGAACTAAAATAGGGCTTTCGTTAAAAAAAATACAATAACTAATTAAACATATTTTTAAACTTTTTTCTTCTTTTATACATTGCACTGTCATGAAGAAATCATAATTTTTTTCATGATAACTTTTCTTTGTAAATTAGTTAAAATAGGACAAATGTTTTACCAAAAATAAAAATAAAAATAGGACAAATGTATTATCCACTGCATTAATAATAGCTTGTGCGATAGTATATGAGGAGTTTTGCATTACAGTTACACTATAGTCTGCAGATATTATATATATATATATAGTTAGGATATTCTTACTACCCATTTTTTTTACTATCACTTCACTACCACTCTAATCACCATTGGATTAGAGGAAAAGTTGAATGAAGAGAAAAAAAAAAATTTTGAATCCAATGGTGATTAAAGTGGTAGTGAAGTGATAGTAGAAAAAATTAGTAGTGAGAATATCATACCTCATATATATATATATATATATATATATATATATATATATATATATATATATATATATAAAGTTATTTTAAATAACTTTGTCTAATGTTCACCGAAATGACGTTGTTTTGGGATGAAAATCATGGTGTGTTTGTAATTTTAGTTTATTTCAGGATTATAATAGTTTTTATTATTCTAATTTTTTAATTTATCAATTTCAAAATGATACCATTTTGAGAATATTAGACAAAATTATCTAAAGTAACATTAGATATTTTTTCCCATAATTAAATATAAATCTAGAATATCCTCTATAGTTGTATATACAGGAGATCTCAATCATTAATCTAATTTTAATGTTTAGTAATTTTAAGGCAAAAAAAGAAAGCGCAAGTTGTTTGAATGGTTAGATCTCCAAGTGCACGCCAAAACTGCAGGGATCACATGCAATAATACTTTTTTAAAAAAATAAATAAAAATGTAAGCGTTAAAAGCTGTTGCAACGTTAATGATGACAAACCATCACGTGACAAAATGACGATGGCCATCACGTGACAGAGTTGCGACTGCGACAATTGTACATTAGATCCCCATAAGAATTTCTAACCTTGTTTTCTCTCTTGCTTTACGAAAATGCCAACTTTATTTTTGTTGTGTTACATTCGTTATCAAAATTCTGTTGTGTAGCGTTTTTCTGATATGCAATAGCTAAAACCAGTTGTAACATTCCATTTTCATTCGTTTACTATATTGAAGATGCACCTTAATTAGCGGATGCACCTTAAAGGGCATCTAAGGAGGGTCCTTGTGGAGCCGTCAAGAACTGAAATAAATAGCTTGCTTTACATAACACAAGCAATTTTGTCCTAGACAGTTGTGTGTCTCTTTCATAGGGAAATTCACATCAATTTTAAAAAGAATGAAATTTATATAGCTACTATATATGTAACATTTGCAATTTAAATTCATAATATGACATTTGTTCTATAAGCGGTTATGAATAAGAAGTTAGAACATGATAAACTCTTATATCATGTTTTTAAGAACTAAAATCACTTTTATATTTAGTCAAAAACATAAAAACTTTGAGTTATTTGACTAAAAATATGGAGTTTGAATTATTGATTTATGTGAATAATTTTTGCTTGCTTTGTAGGATAATTGAGTTGAATTGGAGCATTAGTTAAGCTAGAAAGACTTAAAGCTACAAACGAGGAGCAATGATTTAGTGAAAATATCTCAGAAGCTGTCTTCCGACCAAATTTTCGTACCCAGGATGATGGATTTCAATCTTATGTTCTTCACCGAAGTTGTCGATATCTCCTTTATCTTTTCAACGAAACCAAGATCATATTATAGATCAAGTTATGCCCAAAATACGAAACCATATTTTTATTATCAAAATAGTGTGTTTGTGCATTTTAAAGCCCAGTTGTGATCCAATTAAGGCCCATTACGTAATTTTCACCTAAAACAAGGATTCCTACACATATTTAAGCTATTTTTCTAAGAAAACAAACAAGACTTGATGGCTGAAGTTCAGTTTCATAATAGAGGCACATTGTTCATGGTTTGGAGAGTCGGAGATCGTTTGGATTCAAGATTAAGTTGGAAGCCTTGAAGATTTGTCACACCATCATACCAATGGAGTTTGGAGAAGCTTTCTTGTTTTCTTGATTCCACCATGTTAGGCTAGATTTTTCTTGTAATTAGGCTAGATAGAAACCAATTGAACCTTTATGTTTATGAATTGATCTTTAATGTAATTTTCCCTTTTTATTTGAATGAATTTATCTTCTCTTAATGTGTTTTATGAGTTTGATATTGTAAAATGATTTAGGGTGATTGTATAACAAAGGATGTTGGTACATGAATCATGCATGATGAATTCATCATAATCATTATGATTCTAAGGATAGACATATGGTTTTATGCAATCTTATGATTCTTATTTTAATGCTTATTTTCTTAAGGAATAGTCGGGGAACTAGGATTCTTTCAAGATAATAAAGAATTAGGATGTCAAGGAATTGAATTCTAATTAACATAGGGAATTGATTGGCAATACAAAAGGGTGATTAATTAAGGTTTTAATTCATAACATAAATGAGATATTGGGGAAAATCGAAATCCTAACTTTGTTTCTTGATTGTCAAGTAACTCAAATTTTGCTTTTTTGCTTGTTATTTGGTTTAGTTTTCATAAAATTATCTTGATCATTTGTCCAACTTAAGCTTAAATAGTGAATTAGTGATTGAATTTCTAATCCTTAGGGGAACGATCTCGTACTTAGTACACTTTATTACTTTTATGACTGGTGCACTTGCCGAAGTCGTAACAAAATAGTTGCGCCTCTTCATTTGTGAATAGTCATGCCTTTCATTTGTGAACAGTCGCACCTCTTCGACGTGTTTTCAGTGATCATTCATCTCCTATATATACCGATGTTTAGTAAATTTAAACAACTTGTTTTTCCTAACTTATTGTCGAACTTTGTCAAAATTAATCCTCATATATTGCCTTTGCTAGCGATTGATCAAGCATTCATCATGTCCGCCGATGTTGTTTCTTCTGGTTGTGCCACCGTCAAAACAAAGGTAACTCGTTCTATTCTAAGAGGTATTCGTCAACGAACCTTAGGCACCATTTAGGGGGTAAAATTGCCTTAAGGACACAATATACAATACTACTTGGGTTTAATTTTCTGTAATTTTTCTACCTTGCATATTGCATTTTTGTTTTATGTGATTGCATTATGTTCTATGCATTTTTTGTGTTTTCACTCGTATCACCATAACTAACAACACATATTTTTGCACTATCATCACCACAACATTATCAATTAAATTTAAATTATATAACAAAGCAATCAAAACTGAAAAATGTTTTAAAAAATGAAATTATATTCAATTCTTAATATTTTCCATTCCAATAAAAAATATGGGCAGGTTGATTTCGTGTGACTCAAAGATAGTCACATGATATCCCATCCTTATACATTGTGGGGTGCATTATCTCATTGAGTTTCTCATGACTTGCTGCAACCAAAATTATTCTTTCAGAACCTCCTGATTTTCTTATTTAATATTTCTTATATTATAGGAGATAGTTTTATCTCCATAAAAATGTGTGAGGGGCCTATTCAGGGTCATGTGAAAAGGAAAGAAAGAAAGAAAATATTAACCCTACACACTTTTATTTATGTGTAGGAGATAAAATTATCTCTTTCAACATGAGAAACATTCATTCATTTCTTATTATGGT